TTATTGTACATAGAGTGTGAATGTGATCTGTGAACTCTATTATAAATGCCCTAGAGACAGATTGTAAAATTTTCAATAAATAAGTTTAAAAAAAAAAAAGTATATTTACTTTAATATATATATATACATATATATATATATATATATATATATATATATATATATATATATATATATATATATATATATATATATATACATATATACAGGGTATCTTAGTTCTTAATGACCAAACTCTGGCTTGTCATTTTAGACAAAATGTCCAACAAAAAAGTTCCTTTGGTATATGGGCCGTTTCCAAATGGAAAAGGAGTTAAGGCTAATTAAGTATCTCTCTCAAGGTGATCACGATTTTTATTGAATAATTAAATTAATTACTTAATTATACTATTCAAGATAATTAAATTTTAAGTAAGCCATCGTAAAGTAGATAAAATTTGCTTTGAGAAAACAGTGATTAAATTTACTAAGGACGATAATAAAAAGAACTTTCAGGAGGTTGAATACGATTGCTGCACTGCTATTACAGTACCCATACAACAACAGCATATCTCGGTATTCCCGATTCGTTCCCAACAGTAAAGCGATCATAGAATTCATGAAAGCATCTTTTATCATCGCCTTTGGTCAATTTAATCATTGTTTTGCCAAAGAAAATGTTGTCTTCTTTACGATGGTGTACTTAAAATGTAATTATTTAAATAGTTTTTGAGATATTTCTTCTTATTCAATAAAAACCGTGACCATCTTAAGGGAGACACAAAATTGGTATTAGGTAACTCCTTTTCCGAACAAAATCGGTCGATGCATCAAATAAACTTTTTTGTTCGAAATTTTGTCTAGAAACATTCCAAACCAGAGTTTGCCTATTAAGAAATGATACACCCTGTATATTAAATTCCTATTTGAACTGGAACCGCTTCCGACTTGAGGATTGAGTATAACCCAAATAAACACTTATTAATTTATGCTAGGCAATTTTTTAAATACAAGGAAATCAAAAATAGTAACAGAATAGTAATAGTAAGTAAAATAGTTTGGTCTTTTCACGCCTCTTCGACCGAATAGCCCTGATGAAGACCTGAACTTCGGACCGAAACATCGGCAAACATTATTATAATTATTTATTTTTACTATTTTTTATTTTGACTGATCATTGCAACCATCCTTCTCTTCAAAAATAGTAACGTGTTTGTAAGTATGTGCAACTTAACCTGTAAAAACAGTTGACGAATAATAAATAATTTCTGTCAAATATATATTGTTTGCTTATTAATGATTAGCTTCGAAATTACTTAGGAATATGTGAAAACGAGAACCTGATATGGGAATTTATGTTCGAAATGGAATCACCGATAGTCCGTGGTACAGACCTCTTTTTATCGAATTATTAACTTAGAAACTTCGTAAATAGTTCCATCTCATCGTAACGTACATTTATTTTATTTACGAAAACTCTTGGAATTGAGGCGATTTCAATCACGAGGAGGGCAAACTTTGACTATTTAATTAGGTACTAAAAACTCGTAAATATCCATTTACTTTCTACTCGCATCGTAAAATAAATTGATCACAGAATCACAGAAAAAAGGTGGCCTACAAAAATATTTGGCCGTTTTTCCTATATAACCTCGTTATTTTGAAAATTTTGGGGTGTAGGTCACGCCAAGCGGCTCAATATTCTTGAAGTCCACCTTTTTTCTCGACTTTGTGATCAAATTATCTCACGATCCAAGTAGAAAACAATTGGGTATTCACGAGTTTTTAGTACCTAATTAAATAGACAAAGTTTGTCCCCCCTCCAGATTGAAAACACCCCAATTCCAAGAGTTTTCGTAAACAAAATAGTTGTAGGTTAGGATGAGAAGAAACTATTTACGAACTTTCAGACGGATGTTAATAATTCGATAAAAGGGAGTCTGTACCATGGACTATGGTGTTCACAGTAGTATATGGTGTGGATGTCTCAGAATTAGAGAAGAGGAAAAACAAACGTTCCCGTTTCTCTATATACACAGTTTTTCTATAATGTGCATGACACCAATACAATACTATCACATTCTGTACTAATATTATTTAATGATTTGAATTCGTATATACTCATTTATAATTCTTGGTTAAGTTTATCGTTCTATAAAACTAGATTCAGTATTCACAGATAAATGTTTACAGGCTTTGATGTCTGTTAAATGTTTTATGATTAGGCATTAAAAAAGTTTGTATTTTTCGGATAATATTTTGTTACTTTGCTGTTATTTTTTGATATTTTACAAGCTCATTTACACCAACATGTGAAAAAAAGGCGGATTATACTGCTCCTGTTATATGTAAAGCATATTCTAGATTTACCCTGTGGGTCTATTTAGAATTATAATGAGAAAAATCTAGATTTGATACAAAAACCAAATTTTAAATGTTCGAATAGCTAAAGTCCCTATCAAATTCTTATACATTCAAAGTAATAAAACTTCCACAAAAGAATGGAATATGTCATAGTATTACCTAATTGTAAAGGTATAGATAAGTAGAGCTTGAGACTCTCAAGCTGTAGAGTTCAATGCTCGAACATTAAACCTATCCAATTCATTCAGTTTAAGTAATGAATAATACTCCATATTCATGACCTTAATACACTATTTCTTCTTTACTCTATTCCATTCTGATTTCATTAGATCCTTGTTCATCATCCTCATTCCTTATTTCAATCTGTAAGCTTCTCTGAATTATACAATGTCCTCAAATCTAAGGCTTGAAACCAGTTTTCAAACCAGATATTTTGCTTGATATTGATTTATTATTATCAATAATGAATCTTTGTACTCTATGCTGTAGAATCTAAACGAATGTAACGATTTTAATGAAACTTGCTTAAAGTCTTTTTCTACATTACATGGTTCTCCAAAGCTGAAAAAAGTAGAATCCCGAATGAAATTTTACGAAAATTCCTAGCAGGTAAAAGAAGAATTATTGCACGATTTGGTGCAGATATATAGCGTTTTAAATATTTAGCACTAGCTTTACCCGACCACGCGCTTCTTCGGCTCAGTCTGGCAAAATGGAAAAGAAAGAAAATAGAAAGCACATATGAGTGGATTAATACCAAAGAGTATCTATCGTTTTTAAAAAGTTGAATAACGAATTTGTCTGTAAAATAGCTTAAATTTAAACTAATTCTAATGATTTTTTTTTCATGATTCAACTTGAACATTCTTGATCATCAGAATCAGTCTGAGTTGAACTTACTAAAGTAAAATTGACTTTATCCCCGCTTTCTGAAAATGACAGAGATTCGTCTTTGATATAAAGCCGTTTATATATTTTCATGTTTAATTTTATTATTATTATTTTTTATATTTAATGTACTGTTTAATGTTCAACTTTGTGTTGATTATTTTATGGAAAATAAAAATGTTTGTTTGTCCAAACTCTTAAATCTCGAAAAGTTCTTCACACATTGCCTTGAAATGTTGGCCTAATGTTGCATTTAAATTTCGCGCGTGGCTTAATATACCTACTATTATAAAATATAAGGTGAAACTATACATATTTATTAAAAACGCAGCATCAGTTGGATGTAAAAGCAACACATGCGGTTTAAAATATTTCATGATACTGTTTCATTGTTTAAGATTTTCAAATATCAAACGTGGCAATGCATTGAAATTGCGCTATACAATTTATCATAGAGTTCATTTCGTAAACATTAGAGCTGCCTTCTTCCTCCCTCAAAAGATTTTGCATACCCCTCCCAAGATATTTGATTGCTTGCTTCTCCTTAATAACAACTTGATTAAATATATAAAAAGATAGAGAGATATAAATTGTAATGGAAAAATAAAACTTAATCATGAAAGAAACTCTGCGGTGAACGGCTCAACCTTATCCAAACGCTATGTTAAAGAAAATAATTTATAAAAAAATAAACTAAACTGAAATAAATAAAAAAATAATTTCTAAAAGGATCATAAATGGTAATAATTATTATTCAAGAGTTAAATATTTTTAAATAATAGAAAATCAAATATTTGAGATGTATCATACTACATTGGGAGAAAACAAATGAATAAAAAGAGCGTATAATAGTATTGACCTATGTACGGAGAATTATATTACTTCTTCAAATGATAATTTCAATTACTGCAGTAATTATACAATTTTGAAATAATAAGTAACAAAAAAAAAGAAGGAAAATGGCCTTTGCTGAAGAGAAAGTAGTAAATGTTTAAAACTCTATAACTCTGCAACGTATCATCCAATTTCGATGATTTTTTTTTTATTTTGTTGGGAATTCAGGAAGTCTTCGGATAAATGTGGGTATTATCCTTGTTTTTGGAAACGTATGTTATATACATAAATTAAAAGAGTTTCAAGGGAAGACTTTAGCCAACTTTCTTTAAAATCCTTCTAGCTGTTTTGGCGCGATAGTCTATAAGGATATTTTTTTTACTTATATATAATTATCTTAGGACGGATGTACTATGCCAGAAACCTTCGCGAGAGTGTACGCACCAATTTTCGTAGAGATCGGTTGAATGGTTTAGTAATGCATAAAGGACAAACGGACATACATTCATTTATATACATATAGATTATTCAATATATAACTATTTGGAAATAATAAACCATTGTGCGATGATTTTCAACGTTTGTTGCTTTGTTTTTAATTGGATTGTGATATGATAATTATAAAGAGACAATAACCTTCCTTGCCTTATAGGCTGATATGGATAAACATCAAACATAAATCTCCATAAGGCATACAATTATTTATTTCATTATATTTTTAGTTTTGACTGTGAATGTAATACGTATAGCTACTTAGAGCATTATTTGTTCTAGTGATTGATGGATAGACGTAAATGAGGAACCACTACATGACGTTATTTATTTTATAATTTAGCAGGAAGCTCTATTGTTGATCTCTCAGAGGACGCCTCATGAGGGGATCAGCGCATTCAACAAATCTGGGAAGCCTGTTGCAGATGGGACATCACCCGGTGGATGACACGAGGATTAGGAGCGATACCCTGGCCGCCGAATTGAAGGGTCCTGAAGAGAACTCTCCCCACTACGGAGGTAGGAGAAGTAGATATTGGCGACAGGTGCCGGCGGCCAGCCAGTCCGTCTCTGCAGCCTAACCCAACAGTTGCTCTCCTGGTATCTATGCACAAGGTAACACACCAAAATATACTATAGTGATCCAAACTGTCTTCTAGAAAATAGTGATTCTCCAAATGTTCGCTGTATAAGTGAGCTATCTCAACACAGCTATCGGCTAGTGTACTCCAGTTCTTGTAGGTGGTTGCCGTCCTACAGGATACGACTTGCCACTCTTGGTGGTTCCCTCCGCATAAGGTAAAAGAAAAAAAATATTTTGTTGATTTTGAATTTTCCAATATCCAATCCATATTTTATGATTTGTTGACTTTCCTGAAGTTACTGAGAAAACATTCCCTCTTTACCTCTCTTGTCAAAACTGCAGAAAAAACACTCCTTGTGTATGTTATGCAATCAAGAGTAAACGCTTCCTTTGATGTTTTGTTCTAACGTTTCTGACCGTTTTCAATGCATAAAACGTTGGATATGACAGATTTGTATGTATTTTTTTTTTTTTTTTTGGCTGTGTGAAATGTATCAGTAAAGTGTTATTTTTGTGATTCGATGATGTGTTGTACGAAGAAAATAAAACTTTGTAAATAGTATATTAAATTTCTTTGGCATTGCATGTTTGGGTTTGTAATTCCATCAATTGAAAAATAATTGAGGAAAGTGGATGTCATGGCATTGAAAACACAACTTCCATTAGTAAATGTCCATCAGGTGATTGTTTTCAGTTGTTTTTTTTTTATATTATTACATATATTTTAACTGAAAACAATTTGGTCATTTCGTAATATATCAAATGAAAAGTAGATCTATTCTCTGTTGGCTAATATGAATAAAATATATTAAACGGTTTTCAATGAATGTATCATCAATTATAAAATAACTTTAGTCTCTAGCCGACGGGAAATTTAATATTTGATTGTCGCAAAAAGAAAGTAGCTGCGTTAGTAGCATTACATCTGAATGTGGAATGCCACTGGTTCTTTGTGGAAATTTTCCACTCCGGTACTACACGCCTGTGTCCGAAATCGGTTGGAAGTTCTCGATTTTTGTGGTAGCTTCAAAATATAAACACTTCAATGTTAAAAACGTAAATGCATTATATTTTCAACGTATCAACTAACCTGCAATTTCTCTTTGAGTGCTTGACAAATGGTAAACAAAGAACGCCATCGGAATAAGTATGCATGTATGTAATTAGAGGTTAAAAAAAAATGTATTTTGCCTTCTATTTTCATAAAAGATATATATATTATCCCTCTATTTTTAAATGTTTAACTTGAAGGCATAAGAATTAGTTATATACAATAAAAGAAATGACATAAGCTAAAATACCTCTTATTGAAATAAAAAAGAAAATTCTATATTTATATTAGTGATATTAAAATACAAATATACATGTTTTTATAGGTTTCACTTTAAAAATATATCTAAACAAATATTTTAGAATTACAATTTGTGATTTGTTAAATTTAGTTTGAGAAATATTACTTTGCCTACATTTAAAAATTAAGTATTGTTAGAAAAATTTAATTTAAAAACTAATTATTCTCTCCCTCTCTCTCTCTACTTTTTTTATCCGCAAAAATTGCTAATTGGAAAATTTAAAAAATATATTTGTCTAAAATCTATGGCTATTTGTATTTTAATACCACTAATATATATATAAAATTTTGATTATTTTATTTTATTTCAAAAAGAGGAATTTAGGCGTATGTTATTTCATATAATACATACTTCAACTGATAGCTTATAAAATCTTTGATGATTTGAACACGAAAACGTTTACTGTCGAAACAAGGAAATACCCTTTTAAGATAAATATTGCGGTTGTTTCTTTCAATCTAAATGTAGCAGGAAACTTCGAAATGATCACAAAACATCTATGTAATTGCAAAATATTATAAATATAACAAAAAAACTATAATGACAACAAAATGAAGAAAAATATCGACTGGATAGAGGAGAATAGAGATTCCGAAAACAACCATTACGTAAAACCAAGTATCTATCCTCGTTCATTGAACCATGTCAAATTCAAGTTCTATAATTTTTTATTACATATTTTTAACTTTAGCCATTTCATAGACTCCTGAAGGTTACATCTGCTCTTAGGTCCGAAGGTTAGGTATGGGCTTATGAAAAAGGTTGTCAGAAACTTGCAACAAAACCCAAATTAGTAACTTTAAAGACGCAATTACGAATCTTCATTTACGCTCTGCTGATTTTACCTTCAACAAATGCAAATGTATTGTAATGATTGTTTGATTTACATTTTTTACACAATCAATTTAAACGTCGATTTGTATACTCATATCTAATTTGGGACACTGTGCTTATTTTCTTCGAAACGGTGTCTGACAATGGTTACTCCGTGAACGATGTTTGTAACAATCTTTCTTTCGTTTCGTAGAAATTATTATCGTTAATAGTTTGTATTGTTCCAATTCAATCGAACGAAATATCGAGGATGGGAAAAACCTGATAACTGACAAGAGAGCAATTTCAGGTTTTATTAGTAATCACGTAAATAACAATAGTAATTGAAAAACAAATAGTTCACGTGTCAGAGTCACGGGTATCTTAAAGCCCGGTAGGGTGGAAATAAATAAATAATAAACACTGGAAAACGAGTTATTTTTAGGCACTATTGTGGTTCTAAAAAATGATGAGTTCTAGCTCACCTGTTTTATGTTTAATTTTAAATGAGCAACGTCATTTCAAAAGAATACTATTAAAACAAAAAAAGAATTTATCAACTGCCTTTTAAAAAGAAAATATTATGAAAAAAAAATATGTTTTTTTTTTTGTAAACAATCTTGTTCTCAATTGAATTAATCTTTCAATAAAGAAAGTTTTATTGACATATCATTTAATCAAGGAAAAATGGATGTAGTTTAAGAGCATGTTTCTTTTTATTATTTTGATCCTAAAATTTCTACGCGATAAGAAATGCCATTGTTTTTTTATGTTTCCGATTTCTCGACGGTAAGCAGTTTTCGACAATTCAACCTTCACACACGAGGCCAGTTTTCGACTCCTCAAAAACGAAACCTGTTTTCGCTAACGAACATGTCCCCGTTTCTTCAGAATCTTGATTACCCCTGAACACCTGTCAATGGCTGCAATGAAATGAACTTCTGCTATTGAAATCCTTTTAAAAATTAATATAGAAATTTGGGAATCTACACTTGGAAGAATGCAGTTTTATTGTTGTTAATTCATCATGAAAGCGAACAATGATTTTCGAGAAAATAAAAAAAAAATGTATGGACCTTCATTATAATTTCTTGTTTGTTTTCAATGTTAATGCATTTGTTTTTTGTTTTTTTTAAATACCTATAGAATCTGAATAAATAATTATATGAATAGCTAAGCTACACTTATCCGTTTTTAGTCCAAATTTGAACAATTTAAATTATTATATTATTTTTTAATTTGGATAATTTTTCATTCATATTTCATTATATGAGTTCATTTTATGATATTACAGTTTGTTACAATTGGGTTAACAATTATTAAAAGCAAAAACAATTTTGAGGATTAACTTTTTCAAACTCTTTTCTATCAATATAAAGATATTTTGAGTTGAATCTGAACATATATAATTTAATTATCTCTTAAACGAATATATACTTCAATCACAGTGTAACAAGCTCTAAATAATAAAGATATTGCTAATGGTGAAGATATCGTTACCGTAGTTGTATTATAGATAAGTATTAATAACATTTTTGTCTTTTTTCGTTGTGAAGGTGGAATATATGTGACTTTTTAGGCACTTCTACCCAAAAAATATGGAATCGACATTTTGTATCTCTCATGGCTTTTTTTATCTTCTCCATCTCCTTCTTACCTTTCCCTTCCTTCATTTTATTAGGTTTATGTCTTTAAATTTTCTCTTATATATGATGTCACCTAATGGTTATAAATAAATTTACATTATCGTGCAGTTAAAATTAATGTAACTTTATTTTATTTTTTTAACTAGAAACTGTTAGGAAAAGATCGACAATGAATTAATGAAATAAGTTTCTAAAAATAAATAACTGTTATGCCGAGGGATAATAAAATATATTACACATAAAACATTATATAATATAAATAAACTGATACTATACTATTGCTTTTCTTATTAAATAACTATTCTATTAAAAATAATAATTATGTAGTTGTCCCGTGCGAATAATTCGCAGAAAATTTTGTTTAGTGAAGGAATAGCAAAACAATTTGGAAATAAGTAGATCCTATATATTATGTGAGGGAGAAATTATTTGTTTTTTCTTGGTCGATTACAATATTCCATTTAACATAATAGACTACAATATTTGTACAATTGCTTTGCCAGGGACTATTTTTAAATGCTGACTTGAAAGATAACAAATACAATAAAGCCTCGATCAGGAGATTTTCTAAATTATTAAAAAATATAACAAACAAATGTCTTTAACAAATAATAAAGTTCATATATCTCAGCTAGAAAAAAAATGTAGTAAAATAGTAAATGAAATATCTTTAAAGATGAAAAAATTATTAAGTATATCAAAATTAATGAACTGTAACTTTTTCCCTGTATTTTTCTGAGAATTTAATACAAGCACAAAAATTGAAAGGGCATTAATGAGAGAATTATAACAAAGTTTCATCAAAATCGTTAAAGCCATGTTAGCGCTACAGTCTAGAGAAAAATATGTTTTTCACTTATGGCACAGCCGCTATTGCGCATGGAGCACCCAATTTGTGTCAGGCATTAGTAGCCAAAACCCTAAAAAATAAAAAATCCAATAGTTCTCGAGATAATCTTGGCACAGACAGACCGACAGACCAATGGCTAAAAATTAATTTTTCGGAATCAGGATGCTCTGAAAGGTATAGATCCGTCGAAAACCACATGTTGGAAATTTGACCTGATTCCAATACTTTCCTTATCTAGTATAGGTAGGAAAGTAAAAAGTATGCACTTATGATATTTTTGGGGTCTTTTTTACTTACTGAAGTATCGCCAGTTACTTTTTGTCACTTATTTAGAGCAGATTTATCAAATACACATGATTTAATAAATTATTACGATTGTTCTAATGAGGTTAAAAAATGAATCATGATAGTGATGTTTTATTAAGAGATCTCAATTTTAAAAAAAAATTAATATTTTAAATTTAGAAAAAATATGTTTGACTCATATATTTATGAGTTTGTTTGGAAAAGATTTGAAGGTTTAGTTTTATTTGATAAAATATTTCAGGCAATGA